GAACATCCACAACCCCCGCAGCAACGAGAAAATACGTATCGAAAACACTCCCGCGTGTAGGTACGACGAACAACGCGCCCTGGGCTGCGGTTCCGTTGTTGCGGCGTCGTTGCGACCATGCCCCTGCCCCGCGGCCCTCACCATTTGCGCTCCCGCGGTCGGCGGACTGAGCCGGAGGCTCTTAAGTATAACCCAATTATAATGGTTTCCATGTTCTTTCCATTGTCCCTAGGTTATATATAATAGTTTCCATGTTCTTTTCCATTATCTCTTCATAACCCCATAGCATCCCATAGTAGTACTAACCCAGTCAAGGCCCATGCCTGCGACAGTGGCCGGGATGACGGTAGTTCCCTCAGTTCGCCGACAGCTTCTCGACGTGCACAGCTCAGTTGCTGTAAGAAGGAAAGGGGTAGTTCTGCAAATTTGGGTTCCATTTTGGTACCCCTGAATATTACAGTAGGTGCCGTACTACAATGCCAAAAGGGCCCATCATCTTGAGAATCATTTTGAGAATGATCGCCCTAAACCCGAAACCCTAAACAAGGGGTTCGCAAGTGGTTTTGCTGTGTCTGAGAAGGCCACTGCTATTGGCGAAGGTATCTGCACTTTGACCTGAGGCATCACACCCAGTCTGGATTTTTCTTGCAGGGTCCTGGGTTTTGCAAGCAGTTCTTCCAATCAGGACTCAAGACATATTGCATGCCCGGGATCTGGACAAGAACATTCTTGTTTGACCCTCTGAAGACCCTAAACCCTAAACCCTAAACCCCAAACCCTAAACCCTAAACCCTAAACCCCAAACCCTAAACCCTAAACCCTAAACCCTAAACCCTGAAGAATCCTCAAGGAGACCCCATAATCCCTTGCAATCTTTACAACTCCGCAGGATCGCGCAGGGCCTGTTCTAAGAGCCACAAAACCCAAAACCCCGTGGATCCCTTGTTTCATCCCCTAACCCCCTTGAAGGAGTTTAGACTATAGTGTATGTGACCTAGGCGGCTCAGCTAAACGTCCGACAAAAGTTCAGGGCTCTGGGACATCTAGGGGCTGCCGGGTTGCTGTGAAGGAACTGGAGTTAAGTTACTATAGCAAGGAAGCCCTCTTATCTATTTACGATATTGTGGTAGATTCATTAAAGTTCCGTAACAGCAACCACTTTTCGGAATGAGCTTGGGGTTTACGAAGTTTTTCTCACTCCCGGTGGCTCCCTGTACGAGAGGTTCTGCAGCCTGCGATGACCAACCTTGATAGAAACAGGAGATTTCCCAAATTAGCACCTTATTGGGCGTCCCCATAATAAGGAATTATAGCATTTGGGGGTCTACATGGGGTCGCCATAAGGAATTATAGTATTTGGGGGTCTACATTGGGTTCCCCCTTTTTTGGGAAAGTACCAAACGTACTTCTTGTTAAGCTACTGCTGCGGTAGACGGATGCAATATTGCAACTCGCTGCCAACACGTCGCAATTCCTGCAGTATAGAGCTAGAGTGCATCTTTCCTCCATTGATTCCCCTAAGTCCTAAAGTAAACCCCAAACCCTAAAACCAAAGCCTCAAGCCTAAACCCCAACAGTTAAGCCTGAAGCCCCAGATCCTCAACCTGAATTCCAAGCCCCAAACCCTTGAAGGACGCTAAACCCTAGATCCTAAACCCTGAACCCTAACGAGTAGCTTCCATTTACTTTCCATTATCCGAATATAATCCCA